CCTGAAGTAGTGATTTTGAAGTCATCCATTAGTATTGCACTTTAGTGTGGTAGTGGGGTATGGCAGCCCATGTTTTCTGTACTTATGTGGCACTGAAGGCTTTAGGAAAAGCTAGCTAACAGTAAAGTGGCATCTTATGGGAAAAAACTAGACAGAAGCACTATCCATTTCTTCTGGTGAAAATATTCTCAGATATGAGGGGAAGATCTCTAGCCTGTGAAGCAAAAGAAACCTGAAAAAAACCTCCATCTCTATTTTTATTTTTCTTGTTCTGGTGTTCATCTCTCTGTCACAAATCTTCAGTCCAAATTCTCACTTCTTTTATATGAAAACAATTTACTTTGAGACATCTCAATCTGAGGGAAAGGGAATGAGAGAGGGGTCAAAGGCTGCAATTGTGTTTGAGCTGAGCTCTGTGCCGGGTCTGGCAGCTGGCTGGTCAGTGCAGGTTTCCTGTCTGTCACTGCTTCAGCCTCCTCCATTCACCAGTGAGCCAAGCACAAAACACTTGGTGCCAGGCTCATGTTCAAGGATGCAAGTACCTTCTTGATGTGCATCTTCTGCTGACACTGCTACCACATGACCACAACACAGGGTCATGCCTTCTGCACTCCATATCTCAACCTGATAGAAATGTTTGAGATATATTTTATACATACACATTTCCCTGTACTTTAGTATTTCTGAGCACACAAGGCAGGTAATAGATACTTAATAACAGTCAGATAATAGATGGTTTGGAAGGAATATCAGTTTAAAATATTTATGGTGGCTTGAAGGCCTTGAGCAATTTGTCCCAGGAATGGGAAATCAGGTAGAGACTGATACCAAAATGTATTCTACTGGAAAAATAAGACATTTTTCAGTGTGCCAACTTCCTACTTCAGAATTTCAGTAATACTAATTTATAGGGCTTGTGGTACTATTTTGTGACAATAATAACTGCTCTTACAGAATACACCTGGAGAGATTGAAGAGCCTAAGTGATATTTTGAAGATATGAGCGTGTGTATATATGATGAGTTTGGGTTTTATTTTATAAGGCAAATAATATGTTTATGTCTCATATCTGTCTTCTGGTACAAGCTTGTACTTTTGCTGGAGTCTGAGTGTATAGAGGGATTATTAACAGCCATCAGTAACTGAACAATGTCACAGAAAAAAAGAAAATTGACCCAGTATATGTGTTCTTCTGTAGAGATACAACAAGTGAGAAAATAAGGTGGGAAACTAAAATGACAGGTATTAAACAAGGAAATACATATGCATACTAGAAACAAGATAATACTAAGGTTCATAAAAAAGAGAGTAGACTATGCAAGAGGCGAAATAAAACTGAATATTAAATATAGAGTCACATAAAATGAAACAAATGTTTTTTGCTTTCAAATGCTTGCTGTCGTACTAGAAGGAAAAGAAATAGTAAGATATGAACAGGAGCAGCACCTACTCACCATTGCAGTTAGAATACTTTTAAGTCTAGAGGAGTTGCTTTTACAAAGTTAAATTTCTTGACATGAGAAAATTATTATGGAATTGCAGAGAGAAAAGTAACTGAGAAAGTAATGTAAATGTGCTAAAAACAGGAAAAAATGCATAATACTAAGTGCTCTACTTAAGGCATGTTATTTTGTGCTATATTGCTACATCCCCAAACTTCCCGTGTGGCCATAAAGTATCTGCAGAGAATTTTTAGGCCTACATGCAGAACTGGTTTTATAATGAAGCAATCTTGAGACTCAAAATTAATTGGTGGCATACCTGAACCACCTCTTTCATGCTAAGGTCTCGTAGGAAATGACAGCAGGTCTTCAATGGCTGGGTGGCCTAAATGATGCATAATCTACTGTCATTAGTATGTCCAAGAACCATACTGCAGTCACACACTGCATTGCCATGATCACAGATGGAGTTTAGGAGTATGGATGGACCCTTTAGGATCGTGCACTGGTCAGTGACAACGGCATATTGGCTCCAGAATTATCTCCTATTCAATTTATGTTGAACTATTTACCAGTTTATCCCCATAACATAGTTAAAGGAACTGTTGCATGGAAGCAGTGTAACTGCAGCACGAACAACAGAAGCATGCAGGAATTAATGCCCTTGAAGCAGCACAGTATAAAATCTGTGCTACTTCTGGTGCCTGAAACAACTTGGTTTGAGCTACCTGTGGCATCTCTGCAGTAGACTGCAAACAACCTGTTGGAAAAGAAGGAGAAAGCAGGGGGAAGAGAAACCACCAGGAAGGGATGGTCAGAAGTATGAATAAACCCATATAAATTTGAGTCTGTGTTCAATGACCAGGATATCCAGTCTCACATCTTTCATGCTCAGCTCCAAATGCAGCTCACTCCCACTGCAGGAAGTGCCTAGTCCACAAAACTCTGTGTCAGTCCTGTAATCTCACAGTTCACACAACTTAGAATGTCCTACAGAATCAGATGTGAAAGGAAACATGTACTGCCCATGACCTCTGCTCTGTGATGTCCAGGTTCAGTCACACATTTATACTCTATGAACATTTGGATGCTCTAAAGCAACCAGTGGAGCATATTGCAACATACTTTTTAGTGAGTTACAACCCATGACCTTTAGTATTTTGAGATGGTAACAATTTCTGAAGGAAAATAATCTGATCCCATAATTTCAGTTCCTTCAGCAGCTTTATTCTAATTTGTAGCTTTTGTTGTTTTAAATATTTTAATTAAAATAATGTGTAAGGATGTGTTTACTGGGTTAAAACGGCTGAACTTTTACTAAAGACAAATGGGAACCAAAGTTTTAAAATACATCCGCCCAGTAGATCTTTGCCTGGAATAGGGTAGTTTGTACATTGCTTGGGATCTATTTTGTCCCTTAGGTTTCCTTAACTTGGCAGAATTGTTTTGCAGAGGTAGCCAGGGAATGTTTAAAGGCACTGAATGCATCGAGTGTGATTTGGTATAAAAGAAAAAGGAATAGTAATGAGAATAGAGAAGGAGGGATAGACTGCTCTTCCATTTGTTTTACATGATGCTGCATGGTACTACAGAGAGCTCACCTAAAAACAGCTATGGCATTGTTCATTGGGAAGATTTTAATTTGCCTAGGATGGCAGGTGAATTTGGAGGATGTGATGGGATGCAAATTGTGATTCCTTCAGGGGATTTTGAGACAAGAACTAGATCAGAGTGAATAACAGTAGTTTTTTTACTCTGTTCTGAGCACCAGCATTTTGCATTCCTTAACCAAGGAAAACATTTCCAATACATGTATCTGTCCATTGCACTTTAGTCAGTATGGAGTAGAGCTATTTTCTCTCACTCTGGAAATGCAGTTTGGATTCCTAAGGAACTGTATTCACTTTGTTCCCAGTTTCCTGGCATAAATTTAGGAACTGCCAAGGTAAAGTACTACATCTCTGTGGATAATTTTGTCAGGAAAAATGAAATAAAACATTACTCAAAGCATCCAAGTAACTGCTCAACTTGATGAGCTGCAGCAGTAACTATTAAATATGCAGCTCTAACTGTTAAATACTTCAACTAAAGCCCTTTTATGTTTCTGAAAACCTCAAGCTAGATGAGAATCTTAAATGAAACTCAGAAAGACGATGAATGAAATCTTTGCCTGGTCAAAGGCTGTAGCACTGGTGTTACACTATCTTCTCAATTTTTAATGGGGATTAATAGTTGAAAAGATATATCACTGGCAGGAGGAAAGTGTGCTGATTTCTTCATGTCTTCTCCCATCCCCAGAGCAGAAAAGTTGCCAAGAATCTAATTTCATTTCTAGCTTTACAGAACAGAAATGCATCCAGCTGAGAATGCCACCAAACATTTGCAATTAGTAGGGCAAACAGAAAAGTATTATTATGAACTTGTCCACAAGCACAAAAGGCACAACGTTTCCCAGTCTTTGTAGCTGGAAATGAGAAATAACATTTCAGAAGGTGGATTGAACCTTGGAAAATCTTAACTACCATCACTTGGAAATACTGCTGTTCTGACAAGTCAATTCAGCAAAAATGTATAATGTGATTTGAATATTTAGAAAAGAGTTTAGTGAGTAACTTCAGTGCATTGCTAAAAGCAATAAAAGACCTGGAATACAAATCAATCTGTTTTTTCTTAAAAAAAAAAAAAAAAAATCAGTAAGTTATCTCTCCAGCACAGCAAATGTGAAAACAATAATAAAGAAATATACATCTTCTTTCTCACAGCACTCTCTGAGAAACAGAATCCTTCAGTGCATCTGTGTAGGAAACCCAGCAACGATATCTCCCCTTTGCTGTATGGATGCTACAGCTGTCTTATTATTGTCAGGAGTACAAAGGTATCGTTTTTCCCTGACTTTTTTTCTTTGACAATCGCAAAGCTTTATTTTGCTTCAAGAAATCAGAAAAAACTTGAGCACTTTAAAACTATGTTCTTACCAGCCCTCCAGATATGCACAGATGGCAATGTAAATAGTCTCATTAGTTAAAATCAGCAGGAACAAAGCATCTCAGAGCTGACTGTGAGAAAAGCTATTAAAAACAGGGTCTGAAGTGATTTCTGAAGAGGAGATAAATGCTTCTGCCATCTGCAGAAATACAGAGAAGAGGGAAATTTGAAATCCTCTCCTTTTACATACAATCTCTACAACTCCTTACCGGTATATATTAGATGCCTGGCTGAGAGACAGACTGTTTTCACAGTGAGAAGCAAAACCCTGAGTTGCTGTTACAGAATAAGTATTGAAAGATGGAGCACAGAAAGCAGCTGAAGTCAAACAGAGAGAGGAAATGTTTGTTATAAAAGAAAGCAGAAGAATAAAAGTAATGGAAGACTGAAGGAGAAAGACCAAAGACCAGGAGAAAAAGTGTGTTAGGGAGAGATCCTAAAGAAGCACAGAGGAGCACAATGAATGAACTATTGAGGTCTTTATGTCTCATCACTGTGATTTTATACCTGTATTTTATTTTGGCAGAGAATCTGATCTCAGTCTCTCGCCCCTAAACTTTTCTCTTTTCTCACCTGTCCACAGCGATCGCTGTCATGGAGTAGATGCTGGCGAAGACAGCTGTGATTGGGAAGAAGTTGTGGAAGCGGCAGTAAGCCTCTCCAAAGTACCACTCGCTGTGCAGCGCATAGATGAAGTTGATGAGAGTATTGAAAGCAGCCATGGACGCATCAGAGAAGGCCAGATTCACCAGGAAGTAATTTGTCACCGTCCTCATGCGCTTGTGAGCCAGGATAATCCAGATGACAATGAGATTTCCAAAAACGGCCACTGCCACCACAGCACCATAAGCCAGAGACCACAGGGCAATGCGCCAAGAAGGTTGTATGAACTGATTGGAGAAGTTGCCTGCTGAGGAGGCTACAAGGGCAGAAGCATTTGCAGCTGGTGCTTCCAGAGCCTGTCCCCAGGGATCGCCTGCTTCAGCAAGGCTCACATTCCACCTGCTGCTCATGCTCATATTCCACTTGGCTGTGGGGACTGAAGTCATCTTGGGTGTTTCTCTCCTCTCTTCCAGGAATGATGTACCTCTCCCACATCCCTCTCCCAACCCTCCAAAATCCCCACAAACAGATAAGAAGAGGGAAGGAGAAAAAGGGGAAGTAAGGCAGCTCAGCAGGTACTGGGAAGGAGAGCTCTGTCAGAAAAAATCTTTTGCTATGCTGTTCAAACTGTTAGAAATGCTCTAACAGACACGTCAGGAGAGCTGCCTCAGAGTAGAACAGTATCCTGTTTCTCCTCTCTACAGCCTCTTGCTTTTGATTTTGCTTAAAGAGAAGGGGACTGGGAGTCAAGGCACATTTTATAGGCTTGTGAGTTCCCAGCGTCACGAAGGGAGTGGAGCAATAAGCTCCATCGGCTGGTAAGCTAACACCTCTTTCCCTCTTCTCTCCCTCCCCTTTTATTTCATTCGTTTCCAGCAGCAGGCACTTTCAGGAGCTGTGGAAAGCATCACAGGGAAAATGAATTCTTTCTCATTCATGTTGATTGATTTTATATTGTCTTTCTTTAAGTTTCATTAGTGTGCTTCCTTTTTAAAATAGTCTTTTTGCCCTGTATTTGCAGGGCTAATCAGCTGGCTTAGTCGAAATTCCCAGGACTGAGGCTGTCTTTTTTGTTAAAGCTCTTTGTAGATTAATTTATTCCAGATAAATTCAGAGCTGCTTTTTTGCTGACTTCTTTTTAGTTAGTACACACTTTCCTTTAAACCATTGTGTTACCTACAGATAAACAAATACAGACAAACAAATACATTCTGCTGGTCTCTAATTTCACTTTTCATTCTGTAGTATGTAATTAATATCAAGAAACGTTTATAAAGTCATTTGCTTGTTCAGCAGTTACTGATTTCTACTGAAACAGCATACAGCCCTAAACATAGGTGTCCCTCGTTATGGGCAAAATATTAGGGGTTTGTTTACTTTGTGTCATTGAAAAAAATATTTCAGTTATTTTTTGTGATTTGCATGTATTTCACGCTTAGTACTATTATTATTTTGAGCAACCAGTACTTTAATATGCAATGGTTTCTATAATGGTAGAAAAGGGTAAATGAGGAAATCTAACATCTGATGTTTTCACATCCAAAATCAGTTTTCTTGTTAATATGTTAACAACAGCTGGCATTAGGAATGCATGTTTTATGCAAGGATTGATTGCAAGGGACTTCAGCTAACAAACCTTTGTTATTCAATAGGCTGCAGTCTTAAGGAGGAAAATGTGTTTTAGTGTCAATCTTTCATATTTCAACAATTTAGAGCTACTACTTCTCATCAGTAGGGGTTTCATTTGTATCACAGCAGTGGGAGCATTTCGATATCTCTATCAGCAATGACACATTCAGTACTTTTTAAACAAAAGCTTCAAACAAAAATTAAATACTCCTGGGTACCACTTCCTCCCTGATGTATTTACCTAGTGGAAGCAGTGCCTGCACTTAATTGTCTGGTCTTCACTGCAGTTTTAATTCAAATGAATGTAATTGTGGATGTTTCTATATGAGCTTTTACTAACTTTACCCCAGCCAGAGCAGCTGCCAACGTCAGGCTTGGAAGCTTTGCTGAAAACCACAGAAGCTCTGCTGTAAATCACCTGGTGCTACAGTATGTCTAGAACCCACCCATGCACTGCAGATGGCTGTAACAGGAAAGTCAATGGAGTTAATCTCACAGTTCCATTTTGAATCCTAAATCTTGCACCTGCCTCTTCTTTCTTCCTCTATCTGGAGGCAAGCCTGAAGAAAGTTTGAGATATGAAAAATTTAAAGGGTGGTTCCAAAGAGTGAGGAACAACAGACTGACTAGTTACAGCAGAGTTGGACACTCAGCTCTTGATTCCAGCAGCTTCACTCAAGATTTTCATATGGTTGTAAGCCAGAGAGTACAAACCCAGCCCTTTCCACCTTTATGCCCAAACTAGGAACTCTGGACTTTATCCTTTTACTAAGTAGATGTGCTTTTCACATTTGCACACCAGTTGCACAAGTGTCCCACATGCTTCTATTGCTTCCATCCAGCTCTCCCAACCTCAGATCTATTATTCCTTTTCCTTCATGTTAGCAGAGACACAGGTACCTTATTTCTATCACACTTTACTGACAAGTGTGCAGTGGAGTGAAAACATACAGGAGCAGAGTCCTGTAGAACACCATGGTAACTTCCCCTGTATAGGAACATAAAGGATCTATGTTTGAACCACTTGCTGTAGTTCACAGAATTACATTCTGGTCACGTGTGTAAATTCTGTCTCAGGTTTCCCTGAAAAATGTGCAATATCCAGTAGTGCTGCAAACTAGGGACTGAATTCTGGATTTTGAGTTTGAAAGCAGAAGTCTAATTTCTTGTTCTGGAATGAAGCTTGTTCTATCTTTGTCGTGAAAAATTGCTTGCTGTTGCTTTCCCGGTGTTCAGGAGAGACCATTCCCATGGTCTTTTCCTAATCATCTAAGGTGTCCCCATGGGAATTTGTTCTCATTGCATTCCTAGTCACAGTGTGCGAAGACAGTATAAGGCAACACCTCCTTATTCTAGCATAAGTGTAGGTAAACTGAGTCTTTGAGACTTACTATAAACACAAATCAGGAAGCTTTATGTAGTCTGTGTTTGTGAAATGTCAGCCACGCCACTAACACAGGAGTGTCAGCTTTACAGTCTAGAAATCAAAGTGTCATTAATTCTGTCTTCAGAGGTACCCTGAGGAAATGTGCCATCCCTGTAGGGAAATTTCTATACACTATGCTCTTCCCCATCCCCTCTCTCTCATACATGAAAAGAAAAACTGTGGTGTACCATTAGCATAAAAGGACAACCTAGATTTTTTAATACTCAGTAAGATGGATGTTATCAGCCTGCAGCATGTATCTGAATCTGGCAGAAAAGGTGGCTGAGTATCTGGAGTTGTTTTGTTTTGAGAAGTGGAAAACTGAACAGCACAGGACAAATGTTAGGCATCTGGATCAGTCTCCCATGGGGAATATTTATGACTCGTTTTGGAGATGATTGTAAAAATTTGCTGGAACAAATTCTCTGTGTTCTGGCTTTCATTTTTACTGAAACCACAGAGAAGTAGTTTGGTACAATCAGAGTCAGAGCAAAACCAGATTCTCCTACATCCAAAGGGCTACAGCAGAAAAATAGGGTGATCTGCCTCACTAACATTTTACTTAACTAAATAAGAAAAGATGTTTCCATTAATAGGATCTTATCTATAGAGGAAATTCACATATATAGTGATGTCAGCTGTGCTTCTCCATCAAAATTTGTATTAATTACACATACAACTGATTGAAATTTAGTCAGCTGAAGGCCATCAGCATTGGGTTTCTCAAAAAAGTTCCACAGCAACTTTGGTGAAAACAGTTGTATTAATAACTTCTGAGGAGCATAATCTGCCTGACTGGGATGTACCTTATGCAAAGGACTAGTACAAAAGACAAGGATCTGTGTTTTTATCCAGTCTCTCATAGACAATAAAGGGTAACTGTGCTGGTATTTTCTTCCAGAACTGTTACAGGTATGTGATTTCTTATGTTAACTTTTGGCCATTCCATCTTATGCATATTTGCAGTGGGAATGTTTAATTTCCCACTCTGTAAGGCTACTCATTTTTAGAGTGACTTTCTTCTGGTCATTTGCTATCTGCTATTTCCTGATGGTCATTTGCTCCTTTGCTTTTCCACTGACTGCAACTTTGTGCTTGTGTAAAAGCACGTTGTACTTTTAAACTATGGTTAAACTCGTCACTATTAGCAGCTCCCCATTCCCAGCTTCACAGAAACACTAGGAAATCTAAAAGAAATATCTGAAGTGTGAACAGAAAAGTAGCTGTGATTGTCTCTACTTCTTCCTTTGTCTTATATAGTTTGAAGCTATTTTTTCACAGTTCCAGCTTAGCTGGCTCCTACTTAGCCAGAGCAGAGGCTAAGCTCCCGACTTGGCATCTTGATTAGAAGATAGATTTAGAAGTTATTCTTTTCTTACCTATTTATGAGATTATGATTTAGTTTTCTACAGATCTTCTAGTGTACTTGAAGTTTTTGTTGGAAATTGTTCTTCCACTAGACCTTCTGTGTGCTATGGGAATGAGAGACAAAGAATATCATCACTATTGCATAAGTAGGGATTTGTGATAAAATAACAGCCGGCAAAGTATCTCTATTTAGCATAAGCGAAAACTGCATCAAGATATTTCACAAGACCTCTGTCCTTTCTTTTGTGTATAGAAAAGGGCATTGTGAAGTTTGCTTTTGGTTTTGTATTTGCTTGCTTGATTAGGCTTAGCCTAATAACCTCTTTCCCTGCCTCCTTCCTTCAGTGCCCAGCTGGAAGAAATGATCCTTCTGCAGGAGCTTTTTTTTTTATTTTTCAGCTTTAATAGTTCCTTTTCTTCAGTCAGTCATGAAAAGGGTTAGCTAGGGCAGCAGAAGTTATGCAGTTTAAGGATGCTCAGCACTGTCCTATTTATCATGGCTGTGTGTTTGCATTGTGCTGCTGTCATGATAGTGCCAAACCACCTAGATTCTGAACAGTTTCCTTTTATTTGTGTAACTTAAAACACAGCTGGAAAACTCAGTTTTAACTTGGTTTCTGATAATTGTTTATGAATGCAAAAGGTTTATTCCTGTCACCAACTGCAAATGAACTCAGTAGGATATTTAGCAGCTTCACAAGCATGGAAGTAAGGATATTGCAGCAAAGGGGAAAGACCAAAACCAGAAATATAGTGTTTGGCTCTTCATCATGGCTGGAGGGGGCCGAAGGGTGAGGAAAATCAGAGCCAAAGAACTGATTAGAGACAAGTTTTCTTCTGGAATATGATGCTGAGATGCAACTTCGCTGGAACTATTTGTAGAGTAAAATAAAACTCAATATGTCTAGAGATGCTAGAGATGAGTTATGAGAAACAATAAATAGAAATGAAGACTATTTTGAATTTCAGATAATACTCACAGATTATTTTGTATGAGAAAACTTTTTTTCTTGATGAAGGATTTCTTCAGCCATTGAGAGTTTGATCTTCTGATCCTTCTGAAAGGCTAAGTATATGTGTTTTCTATTGTCATCAGCATAGTTTATCCCTTTGTTCTTTAGCTGCTACATATAGGACATGACTGAAGGTGCTAAATTGCTGGCAGACTGAGGTGCCTGTGCCAAAATGTAATTGTAGGACACAGCCATTCTGTGAAAGTAATTCTTATTCATTTGCTTTCCTGGTCAGCTAGGGCTTTGAGAGGAAAATACATTATACAGAGTGTGATAATAGCAATTTTTGGAAGAAA